AGGGTGTGGAATAAATTTGTGTGGCTGAGGAAAAGCATGTGTGGTGGGCTGTTCTGAACATGGCTGTGAAGCTTCTGCTTCCTTGGAAGGTGAATTTCTTGATTACGTGAGGACTGCGGCCAGTGTGAGTCAGATATCATTTCGTGTGCAGAGTATAAGTTGTGAAGCCTGTAGATGACTTCTTTTTATTTTTACAGGGCTGTGCATCGTGGAAATGGTACTTTCCGTACCATTATGCTCCATTTGCTTCAGATTTCGTTAATATTGCGGAGTTATCAACAGAGTTTGAGAAGGGAACTAAACCGGTATGTGCGATACATTTTGTACTGCTATTATTTTCTAATTTGATCGCGTTTTATTTAATGGCACTGTCGGTAGTTCAGACTGTATGGCGTTGGAGATTAGTGAATAATGAATTGGAAAGGATGTGGAAGGAAATGGTTATAGCCTTATTGAAAGTATTATCCTGACATGTACATGGAGGGACTGAGTATAACCACAAATGACCTCATTTAGGATAGCCAGTATGCAGACAGAGGATTGAACCTAGGACCTCAGAAATTTGAAGCAGGAGCGCTGTTGTGGATGTCGGTGGAAGATAATGTTGGGAAGTTATTTAGTTGTTTGGTGATGTTGCAGTTCCGTCCACTAGAGCAGCTGATGGGCGTGTTCCCGGCAGCCAGCAGTTCACACGTTCCAGCTCCGTGGGCCACTCTCATGAGTGATCCAGTAAGTGTAACAAATTTTTGCTGAATAATGTACCCGGTGCTCAAACTATCACTTCTGTCGGTTGTACAAGAATTACGAGACTATTTAGTGAAGACTTAATATCGCCTACAAGAAAATAAATAATGTTTGTCTTTGATTCATTTCAGGATTCCCCCATCATTGATTTTTACCCAGAAGATTTTAAAATTGACTTAAATGGAAAAAAATTTGCATGGCAGGGTGTTGCTTTATTGCCATTTGTCGAAGAAAGGAGATTATTCAAGGCATTAAAGCCGTACTATGAAGTCTTGACCTCTGCAGAAAGTAAGTACGAGTCAACTGTGGTGTATACAAGAATGTAAAAATGTAGATTTTGTATTCACAAAAACAAATTCTTCTTGTGGCTGTTCCAAAATTTCATACTTCTATACATATTTTGTCTTCAGAAACATTTGTTTTGGTTGCGTTCCTTTACGTTTGTCCTAAAGATGGAGACAACCCGTGTCTGAAATACTGAACTACGGTCAGGGGACCGCGTGACACTAGAACGCAAAAGTCTGTGACCTAAACCGCAGAAACCCGAAGTCAGACATGACAATTATGCTCTTTAATCCTTGATGTTTTAAATTGAATTGAGGTCTTGAAACTCTATTTGGAAATAAAGTTTATTTTTAGCATAATTATTTCTCTGTCGCTTAATTTATAGAAAGACGCAACCTACGGGGAGATGACAGATTGTACGTGACATTGAAGAATTCTGGCTACGACTTCATCAAGGGCTTGTATGAGAATAAAATCGACTTCAATGATGAAGTTAATGTTAGCATTGACGGAATGCAAGGTACCGTTCTTCTCGCAGAAGACTGTGTGACTCAAGGAGGGTGAGTGCAATAAGTCGTACATTAACGATAGAATACGTCTGATGATCTGGGTAGATTCAGGATACGGAGACGTAAGTAAAATAAAATGATAATTGAGCATTCTGAACTCACATGCGTATTGCAACATGAATTATCGTACTTTGAGGAGGACGACGGTGAATTGCAACTTACTTGTCATAATTACGCTGCTTGGCAGCCGTTAAAAATTAACCTCTGTCGGCCATGCATCGCGCTGTGATATGCAGACTAAATGTTTCTATACTAATTGATACAAAAATAATGCCTGTGAATCTAGGAAGATGTGCTACTTTGTTACAGATCTCTGCATTCGCCAGTTTTGGGGCTCTCGGTCCTAACCAGAAATAGCGTATACTGGTAAGTTTTCGGTGACTAGCAGCAACTTACGCTGTTTATATTTCAGATGTGAGTTTAATAAGGCTTCATGGTCAGCACTTTTACTTTTTGGGGTAATTGCAGTTGTTGTTTGCATTAGCGAAAAGCGCTTTGACTTTTTGTGGAAAAATGTTAGATACATAACATGTGGACAATGAAATGTTGTCTTCTGCAGTTCGATCGACATATTTATTTATTCCCTCTTGAAAAGACATTTTTCGCATAAATATTTATACGTGTGTTTACTTTGCAGTGTCAGATTCCGGGATCCTAAGTATGAAGATTCATTTGTCTTTCCTGCACGTCGTCTGAAAGGAGCGAGGTATTGGAGTTTTATAAATAATACAGAAATTTCATTTGCAAATATTTTTTATCCTACATGAATAATTTGCGTTTCAATGTCGACAAATTTGTGTTATTTCTGTAAGTGGTCGAGTTTCACAAACATAAAACTACTTTTAAAATAAACATTTTGTCTAATGTTTTGGATGGTCGATGAGATGATGGGTGACCTATGTCTGCACCATCTTGAAATAACTTTCTATAACTAATTGTGAATCTGCTTAATGAGACTACTGAATTTCTTTTGCCACTGAAATTTATCTTCAGTTTCTTATTCCCTTTTCACGTGAAGGTAGCATGTGCCCGCGTCTCGTTCATTGGCAACGATTACGCCGTTCTCTGTTGTGTTTGTAGAGATCCACCTAGAGTGCTGAAGCCGCAAGATTTAAGTCCGTCTCAGAACAGGGGATGGAAACCCCAAATTGGAATGGCACCAGCAACGCAGAGGGCCTCGCTGGGTGAAGCAGGACACAGGATGCTTGGGTAAGTTACTGATAAAGCTTCTTTTAAATAAATGGTAAATATGAAATATGTAAGAACCAGTCTGGTACTTTTATAATATTCTAGATGGAGGTGCGCCGGTCACAGTGGACGCGCGGTCTGAGGCGTGGGTCTCATCGCTTGGACACCATGACCGTGGGTTCGAATCCCACTCAAGCCATGGTTGTTTTTCTGCGTTGTGCTGTCCTGTGTACACGTAGAGGCCTTGCGATGGGTCGAGTAATACCGAACATCTAATAGATCAAGAACCTCCAAAAGGAGGCGCCTTTGCTCCACATACGAGCGAAAAGGGCATGAAAAAATGTTTTACAGACTGCGGCTCATTCCGCCTTTTGGTGGAAAGTTGAAGAGTGTCTACGAGTAGGCAGAAACGATTTAATTAACTTCCTATTACAACAAAATAAAATCGTGGTTTTCCCTTTTTTTATTGGTTGAATGTTTCTGCATTGAGGGGTATTCAAAAAACTGTAATTAGAAACATTAATTATTTATTAAGTTATTGTAATTATTTGTTTCTTTCATTGTCAGACATACGAATGTGAGAGCCGGATTAGGCATATACAGCGCCGTTCCTCCTACAATCAGCCAAGGACTGCAGGCGTTGACGCAACTCGCTGGTTTGCAGCCGCAGAATCAGTATAGCCGGCAGATGCAGGTGCTGCCGCAGTCGGGCTGGGGAAGCAGTGAGTGTAATGCAAACTAAATTTACATTTATTTTTACTTGGTACTGGCAAATGTGGTTTTGAAAAAAAAAAGAATAATCTTCATCAAAATCTTGGGTTTATGATTTGTGCAGAAATTCATAATTTTTTTGTATTTATAATAGTTAATTTTGTCACGGAAAATTTGTGGATCCTTTATGGGGTAAATGGCAACAAAAATTAATTAAGATCCCAGGATCTCAGTGACGCAGATGTGAAACGTGACATAACACCACAGACATTTTCAAAATGTCGAACGGTTTCTAAGTTCAGTATTTTAAATTTGTTTAAAATTACCAGAGTATTTTATAGTTAAAAATTTAATTTTTTTCAAAATAATTGTCAGAACGTTTGAAGGATCGAGACTTTGGAAAGTTTAAAATTTGGGAAACTTGAAAACTAACGCTTTGTATGATTTAATGTGTAAAATATTTTTCAGGTCTCTAAACTTTCAAATTTTTAGAAGTTGAAGGAATTAGAATTTTTATGTTTTTCAGTATATTTTGAATATTGGAGAATTATGACGACAGCAAGAACATATGCAAGGATGGTATGGGTACTTTGCCTCATGCTTTTGACACGAATGTTTGCGATCTTGTGGCATTTTCTTCTGTTCTCGGCGAAGCTTCTGTAATCACACGAGCATCAGATTAAGATTTCATGTAGTAAGTTTTGTGCCGGGGTGCTTTCCCCAGAGGAAATCATGGCCTGGTTGTGACGTTGAGTACTCGCCCCCATCTAGTGCTGAGGTTAAAAATGACTACCCCCCGAAACGCCCACATGGCGTGTAGCATACCAGCATACTAGCGTTACTTCTCAAAAGTGTAGAGCAGCAAGGACCATCCGATGTCCCGCGAGCCACATCCAGCCCGAGGCCAGTTGTTGCTGTGCCAGTCTAATTATAATTAGACAAATAATTATTTGTTACTGTATTATTTTTCCTTTATTTCTAAGGATCAAAAAAATCGCGTTTCTCACGCTGTCTGCCGCTTTACATCCAAGAGTTATAAGTGATGTTGACGCTAAAACACTACTTTGAAGTGCGTGTTTTCCGTGTAAAAATTATACCAGATACAAGTGTTGCAGGGACAAATTTAAAATATGTATCGCTGTTGTAATTTCTGCGTATTTAAAGTTTAAGTTGGATCGTGTTTTACGCCAATTTGTCATCTCTGGATAAGCATTAGTCTCTTGAAGATAACGAAGATTGGCTTTTAGTTTTAAAAAATTGTGCCGTGAGGTGATTTTGGCCCCTGGGTCTAAGGAGGGAAACGATTTTTGGCTCGAGGGACTGAAAATGTTACAACTCTTGGTGTACTGGTTTCTATTCAGTCACTCTTAATGCTAAAAGTGTAGGTGGTAGGCCTGGCCCTTGGATGGAAGCTGACGTCATCACGAGGTCTCTGCCCTCACAGAACAACACGAAAATAATAAAAAAACATCTCAACCATTCTGCGTCTTCTCCAGTTGCAATTATTTCACGACGCTGACTGTAATGCTGATGCCATGTGACGTTAATCAGTTGTGCGAGGGCGATTGTTATCGATTAATCGATTTAGCATGAAAGTATCGAACGTTACGGCTGAATGGTTAGCAGTCATTTGTCTTTTCGCGAGGTTTTTGTTTCGGTCTGGAAACAGGCTGTCCCGAATGAGTTATTTCGTGGTTTTACTTAATTCTCACCAGGCTAATGTCGGGATGGAAGAAAAACACACGACTTCTCCCTTTCGGGCTTTTTCAGATTCGTGTCATTCTAGGTGTCTTTCAACAAACGGCAAATATGTTAATATAATTATAGGAATGATTGTTATCCTCTTTTTTTTAGTTTTGTCTTTCAGAATTTAATGTTGGCTTTGTGGTATCACTGTAGCCTCTTCGACATGCTTACGACAATCTAGCAGCTGCGCGCGCAACCTATGGCAATGACAAAAACACTTCTCGACTGTTTTAATTACGTGTGACAGGCGACTCACTCATTAAAAGCCGTGGCGTTCTTTGGTGCTTGCAGAGCACGTGCCATTACTGTAGTCACGACTAAGACGAATAATTGGATGTTGATGCAGCGACTTGATGTGGGCGGGCTCCATGCATTGCTTCGTAGCGGAAGTTTTATTATGAGTTAGAAGTGTGGAGCAGGATAAGGCTAAAGTTATTGTTAGCTCGACACACCCAATCGCCTGATAGCGTGGTGGTCACGGACTGCGATTTACAGCGGCCATTTAATAGTTTGAATCGTCCGTTTTATGCGTTCTTTGCGCCAAGTTCTTGCCAACTGTTATCTTTGAAACTGCTTGTCAGATTTATATGATACGTCAAATCGAGAGGGCTTGCGGTAAACGTTGTTGGGCAGATGTTATTTTGATTCGTGTGGGTCGAATATAGCCGCGTGTTGTCATCATCATCATCTCACTGAATTACTATTGTGAAACTACGGTCGTACCACTAATATCGATCTAGCCTTTTCACACATTTTTAATATTATCTTTATATCACGTGTTCCCATAAGTCATTTGTGGAACGTGATTGGCAGTCAAGCCCAATTCGTGACGGAAATAAGTCGTGTGCGACATGGAAATGTGATACATCCTGTCAGATTTAGTGCGACGCCGCTCTGCATAGTTCACGAAGCGCCTGTAAATTCGTCAGATTTTGTTTTCTCTTACGTGCGAACTTTGAAGCACAGAATTGGTTCCGTCGCTGGTCGATAAAGAGCGTTTGAGCTCACCCTATACCGTAGGCTTCAGGGCGGAGGATTGAGGGCTTTGTTCGGCAGTAATTAGGGGAGGCGAGCCCGAGCATTGTCGGCCCGTCACATCTTGTCATCGCCTGCTGTTTGGCTAATTTCTCCTTTTACTTGCCCTCTGCTACCGGATGACTGCTGTGTTAGCCTGTTGTACTCCGCCAGGAGTAAGTCACAGAGACCTATGAATTAATGGGGGAAGAATATAAACAAGAGTGTCTTTTTCCCTGTCACGTTTCATTCACTTGGGTTATATTAAGATATATGTCTGTCTGTTTTGTCCTTCGGATTACGGATAAGACGCGAGCGATCTTGTACGAATGTCGTCAACACAGAATTTAGGCCCTGCATTAAATTATTGCGAAATATTCTGCAGTGCGTAGTTAGCAAATTTTACCAGGAAATAGTTTTTTTGTGTGAGTTTCTAAACGCGACACTACAACATTTTGGTCATTGTAATAATTCTGTAGAATTGATAAAGATATGAAAATAACCCGTGTAAAATCACATGTAAAAGAAAAGAAAATTATTAATATTTAACTGTAAACGGAGAAGGGGAAGCAGAATTATATTTATAAGAATAAATATTACGTAGTACGAGAATTATGCCACCGGATGTAGTTATTTTAAAGCCGTGGACCGCAAAAGAGCGACGTTAAAGTGGGCACAGTATTCTTTAAAGGTGACTCACAAAATGATTGTTACCGTCATTAAAAAAACTAAAAATAAATTAACGTAAAAGCAAATAATTTCTTGACGAGTTGAGTAACTAGACTTCTCATAAAGCGTATTATTTGAAAGAGACACGCGATTTCAGAGCAATTTATTTATTAGCATTTAAGTATGCGAATGTGTTGTGTGCGCGGTACAAAGCAGTTCTGTTTTGCCTGAGGACGTTCTTCATCCTCCTGTTCTGTTTTGTCCACTGCCTGATAAACAGGGGCGACAGTTTGCTGTCTCTTGATCTTGCGGCCAGGTTAATCAAGTCGTTACGCGAAGCGAAAGGCACGTCTTTTTTTTTTGTCCGGCCAGGAATCTGTCGGAGCCTCTTTCTTCCCCGCGGTTTGCTGATGACAAATGCGGAAGTGACCACAACCTCCTTCGTCGCCCCCTCCCTTCGGCTTCCTTTTTTTCCCTTATCTTTTGATCAACATGAGGGGAGATGTGTTCGAGTTCGGCACGTGAACTTTCCACATGCCCTCTTTGCGATTTCTCATACCTTATTAGCTCTGACTTTAATCAATTGCAGATTGTTGCTTCGGAAAATATATTCCTTACCAGAAAACAGAATATCCTCACGCGTTCTTTGCAACGCGCGTTTAGAGGTAATAAATCCGCCTTGTTCCATTGTTCCCACCTTGGCCACCAGATCGCAGCACCTCGGTGTCTTTCTCACGACTTTCTTCGTCCGCCATTTCGTTATCACAGCTCGTAGGATATTCAAAATTCGTTTTTGAGGTCGTGCAGAATAGCACAACGTCCACATCAAATTTAATCAAAATCCGTCCACTGGCTCTCGAGTTGATGGGCTGACGCTATGCACCGGGTATTGTCCGGTGGCGGGCTCTTGTGAGCACGGTAATGAACCTTAGTGTTCCATAGAACACTAAGAATTTAATGACTAGCTGAGCCTGCTGTCAGCTTTTCAAGGATGCCTCTGCTTCATTGAGTTAGATAACAAATTATATAGCTTTATAAAGTCGGTTCAGATCAGTTAGTGTAGTGACTAAGATATGGGCTGGATAACTGGGGTTCGATTCCCGATAGAGGCAAGAGATTTTTCTCTTCGCTCCCGAGTCGAAACCGACTCTGAGTCCACGCAGTCTCCTGCCCTTTGGTTTCAGTCTGGTTTTCCCCGTGGCTATTGCAGCCGGGACGTGAAGTTGGCCACCCACCTCTAGTACCGAGGTTAAGAAGGAGTGGAGCTGTACTCCACAACCAACTCCTCTTCGTGGCGTGGTGCTTAGTTAAACACGTGGGACAACTTTTACCTAGAGCTCCAGTACAAAATTTGATACGTTTCCGTTAGTTTCGTCCTTGGACTGACGAACACGTCTTCTGTACGCAACGTAACTTCGTCGTGCTTAAGTTGAATGCGTCGCATTTCGTCCCAACTGCCTCAGACTCCGGCTGGAAGATTCAGTCATGCAGACGGCGCTCATAAGCGACGTGTTCTACACACAAAAGAAAGAGCTATGAAATATTATTTGAGTGAAAACCGTGTCTCCCCGCGTGTAAACCCCAGACA